AGAAGTTTAATCAGTACTTCCACTTTTACCAGAGTATTTTTTAACACAAGTATCTGTACTTTTACTCAAGTACGGAAAGTGAGTACTTTTGCCTTCTCTGCCCTTCAGTTCGTATTGATGATTAAAATTATTATTTATTTAGAACTATTATTTTACAGTACAGTACAGTAGTTATTTGTTAAAAAAAACGTTTATACAGTATTTTTATTTGTTAAACAAAAGCTTGGGCCTGTAAAAAGTTTTTCCTTGATTTCAATGTTTCATGGAGTATTTCATTGTGTAATAACTGTAAAAAAAATAAAGGTTTCTACTTCACGGATTTCACCTATCGTGGGTTCTTTTTGGAACGTAACCCCCGTGATAAATGAGGGTTCGCTGTATATGCAAGAAACTCTGTTGGAAGATAATAAATGTTTAACTGCCTTTTGATTGATTTTCATCAACAAATCCTCTTGGATCCACCTGGGATTAGTTATTGTGATGAAAAAAAAAAAAAAAGATTTCTGACCCTTAACTTTTAGCTGTCTGCTAGAAAGATCAATGTTTTACAGGACTGTACAAAAAAATAAATAAATAAATAAACTCAAAATGTTCTAAAACTTCATCAAGAAGTTGTTGGAAAATATTTGACCTTAAAAGTGTTTAAATGTTTCTTATTTTTTCTTTTTAGGAAAACTAAAAAGGATTTCTATTTGCTAAAAGCCTAAATAAACTGTAACATTTTCCTCCAACTGTTAAATAAAAATGTTGGTAGACTTTACACTTAAACTGCACAACTTGTGTGAAATGTTATTAGTTTTCTTCCACAACCTGTTCTCATTATTCCTGGTATTCTGGAACATTCCTGCACACAGAACTGCTGCTCACCTCTGTCCCTCTTATCACTGAGTCCAGGTTGTAGCCATTTTTTCTTGCAGCTTTTTCAGCTCTGACCATAAATGCTCTGAATGACTGACATCAAGGCTTTGTCATCGTTTTCAAAGATTAACTTCAGCTCCAATAAGAGGCACATTTCTGTGATTTTCTTACTGTAACCCAACTCTTATATTGCTTTGGCGACTTCCCCTTCAAGTGGCCTTTCAGCCAATGTCATACTGACATTTGTTTGCCGGTTTCTGCCCAAAATTCTAAAAACATCCCAGGGTTTTTTTGAACTCTTAGATAAAATGTTTTTTTTAATCATATGGAAATTCTTATACTTGCAAAAGTGCAATGAAAACATTTATTTTGCATCACACGAGTCCCGTGATAATACCGCCCTGTAAAAAGATGGAGAAGAACAGAAGCAGTTGAAGCATGATGGCGCCCTCTAGAGCTGTGGCTGATATATGGACATATCTCGTGTTTACATCCGCCACAGCCATTTTGTTTTCAGAGTTATTGCATATCGTATGCATTTTTACATTTTGTTATCTAATAGAAATACTTCAATTGCAGAATTTTGCATTTCGGATTTAGCAGAATATCACATAGTGTTGCGCCCATTTGTAATAGAAACGCAGCTAGTGTGTTTATTCTAGCAAATAATTGAGCAGATTCTGGTGGAATCTATTTTGGGCTCATTTCTTAGGTCTCACACCAGGAAGCGGCCAGTTTGAGATGTTGCCTTGAAATACATCCAATATCTGCAATCACATCAACATTTAAGCTTCAAATTGTTTAAAGACAAAATAATCTTAATGTCTGTAACCTTATAAATCCAAATAAATAGGAAAACTGGCATTTAACCAGGTTTTTTGCAATCTACCGTTGGAACTGACCAACTTCTGCTTTAACATGGCGGCTCTAGCACAAGTATGTCTTTAATCTAGCACTATAATCAAAGCAGGTCAATGTTTAAGGGCATTTCAGCTCAATTCCTTTTCATAATCGAAATGATTGCTTTAAAATGTTCCCCTTTCAGATCTTAGAAACATTGTGACTGACTCAAAGACAGTATTCAAAACCATCAGGTTGATGTGTTTTTCAGACCATCACACAGTATTAACACATATGGGACATGGTAGGTGCACACACCGTTTGTGGGTTCAGCTTCCCCGTCATTAGAGCCAGCAGATCCTCGTCGCCAATGGACAATGTGCAGTCTGCCTTTTTACCTAGAGAAAAGAAAATATTCCCAGTAAAACTGATTGACTTCAGCTTCATTACAATGTGGATTGTAATGAAAAGGACAACAACTGACTACAGGTTTACTGTGTTTCATATCAGAGCAGAGGCCATAGAAAGCTCACCTCTGTTTCTCTTATAGCAATGCTCCAAAACAGGAGCATCTGATTTACATTTTGACGAGTTTCAGCCAAGAAAAGCATATAGTATGTGTTGCATCCACTCAAGTCCATTCAGTATGTTTCTGCATCTAAAGCTGCGATCTAAAAAGCAAACCAAGCTATTGGAAGAAAAATGGTTTGGACCTACGAAAAGATATTAATGAATGGATAGACATGATACTTTACAAGTATGTTGGTGAAGATTCTACGTCATCCAGATCATAGTCATTCCAAAGAAGTTAAAAAACAATCCACTGGACTTTGTTTCTCTTTAAACTTGGAAACAAAGTCCAGTAGATTAACTTTTTTGGAATGATATGTTACAAGATGAACACCATTCACCACCTGGTGTTAAATCTCTGCAGAGGTGTAACGAAGTATAAATACTTTGTTACTGTACTTAAGTACAATTTTTAGGTATCTATACTTTACTCCATTACTTATTTTTCTTCATACTACTGACTTCTACTCATTACATTTTCACACAAGTATCTGTACTTTCTATTCCTTACATTTTTAAAACAAACGTTACTCGTTACTCTTGGCTTCGGTTTAATGTTTCTAAATATTTATTTCACGTCATGTGCTCCATCCAATGCAGATCATTGGCTCCATCCACATCTAGTGAAAACTAGTGTCATTGGATGAGTCATATAACGCAAACACTCATTGGTTAGCTAAAGGAAATCATCAGAAGCAAGCAGGTGTTCTTCAAACTGCAAAAGTGAATTGTCTATGCCATGCTACAATGTGGGATTTAGAAAAAGATGTTGAAATGTCTGAAAGGTCGGATACAGGCGAGAGCGTAATGCGAGATGGAGACCAACTTGGCCATATCTCAAAGAATTTTTTGAAATAGTCGAAAAATTGAGTTTCAGTTCATATAGTGACCAGTGTTTTTCAATCCTGGTCCTCAAGGCACACTGCTCTCCATGTTTTGGATGTTTCTGAGCTTAAGCACACCTGACTCAGATTATTGCAGTTCAGCAAAGCCTGATAATCTGCTATCAATTGACGACAGGTGTGTGAAAGCTGGGAAACATCTAAAACATGCAGGGCAGTGTGCCATGTGGACCAGGATTGAAAAACACTGATATAGTGGCATCTGGCTGTTTTTTTTAAAGATTAATTTATACTTTTATACTCTTAAGTAGTTTTTGGAGCACATACTTTTTCACTTTTACTTGAGTAAAGAGGTCAAGTTGATCCTTCAACTTTTACCAGAGTGTTTTTAAATTGCAGTATCTATACTTCTACTTAAGTAACAAAAGTGTGTACTTTTGACACCACTGAATCTCCCTATGTGGATACTAAAATAGGTTCTTTAAGGGTCTATCCTTGGGCCAGTTTTGTTCTCCTTCTTTATAGGTAACCTACCAAACTCATGCAAAAAATATTTAAACATGCTGCAACTGATCTCACAACTGCTTTATCATCATTCCTGGCTCAAGGATCCATGCCTTATGTTGAACACTAAAAAAAAAAACGTTACCTTGACCTTGTTACAAGTGGCACATTCTAACATTTAATAAAAAAAAAAAAAAAAAAAACATTCAGACCCATCAGAAATAATAATTTAATAATTATTAACCTCTGAGTTCTGCCAAAATTTACTTCTATTCCACGATCTTCTCGAAAATTTATGTAAATAAATATAAAAAGGACCTAAAAACATTTTTGACAAAAGAAAAAAGGATCCAACTATTAATGAAACATTCTAAAAATAAATAGTTTATTGGACATTTCAAACCTGAATAATCTGTCTCATTTCCAGTTGCTTGTTCGCCAACCACTGAAACCTGTACACATTAGTTCACACAGTAAAGCGTATTTAACTGTATGGGATTTTCTACGCTTGAATGTTGCTGGTAAAATGTATGGTGAGCTGTTTACTTGTGTTCTATTGTGACTAAAGTGTGTTGTTGTGCTAAAATGTTGTATAAGTGACCGCCTTTTTGTATATAGAAGAGTTTGTCAATGTTACGCCTGCCTGCAGGAAAATAGATGGAAATAAGCCTTTGGCTACAATCTGACATATTTATATTCATGTGATTTTAATTCATGAACATGCACTTTCCCAATCAAATAAATCAGTAAATGAAAATTAAATGGGCTATCAAGAATGTAGATGAGGATTTCTGGTGAATGAAAAATGCTAAAAAAAAAAAAAGAACTTTTCATCCTTACTTGTAGCTCCGATGGACAGCTTAAAGGTCTCCAAAAGGTTTTTCTCTTACCAGTGTTGCAGTGTAAGGCCATTAGAAGAATTTGCTTTGGCCATATCTAACCAGATCTCACCTCCGATTAAATCCCACATAGACAGATTCCTTTCATTTACTCATGAGATAAATTCTAAATGTATTTCACTGTAAAAAATTCTGAAAACCATGACGTTTCCTCTTTGTCTTAACAGTTGCGACCCCTTTGAGTTTGTCTAATGAATGAAAAACATTGAACCCAGAGGGTCTAACGTGTCAAAATGTGCAATAATAATAAGAATTCATTTAGAGGAGAAAGTCTCAAAAGCTGCAATAAATGAAGAGATTCAGGCTGTTTATCAATAAATGCACAAATAAAGATGTGCACAGGGTGTGAAATCCTGCCCGGTAACAAATTTATAATTTTTTCCCAGTTGAGTGAACATAGAAATAAACTGGGTAGGTATGGAGTTCGAGGAACCACAGAGATGAGGCATAAAAGCAGATCCAAGTTACAGATCCCTTATGCTAATATCAGCAAGGCAGGAGAACTTTAGTATAGTTCTGCATGAGCTAACACCCACAGCACCTCAGACCTATTCCCCTTCTCATCCTGCATGAAATCTACCTCCTCCACTCTTTCTGCCTGATCCTCAAATCGATCTTTTCAGACTTTCTTTAACAGATAACTTTTTATGGGAAAGCCGCCAGAAGAGATGAGCTGTAAGCATCGGCATCACAGCGTATCCTTTGCTGTTTCACCTCCATGACCTTTTTATCCTACATCACGCTGCGTTTTAAATGCCATTAACATCGTTAATGCAGCAGCATTACTTGGCAAAACACAAAGACGGGATTGAAGGTAAATTAAAGCTACGCTATGGAGCAGGAATGTTTGGTGTTTCCTGATGTTCATTACATTTTTTCCTCCTACTTTCCACCAACGCTCTCTTTACCGATGGGAGAGGAAGAAAGCCATGAGGAGGAAAGAAAGCTATAAAAGTTAGATCTGAGGCATCTCTGAGACAGAGAAAGACATTGTGTCCTATTTTATTTACTTTCTCTGTGCATCTAAAATGCTTCTGGTGATGCAAGTTTGCAGATTAAGAAAAAAAAATAAAAATAGGGCCAACTTTAAAACTTTAAAAGCCAACCAAGAGCTGCTGGTAAAAAAACAGACTGTTTTAGAAGGTGTGCAATCAAAAATTAGACCAAATATAATCAAGCAGAAAACTTTAGCCATCTCAGATGCAGCTATGCTAACCCTCCTCATCCGCTTTTGTAACACTGTGGGTCAAATGCTTTTTGTTTAATGCTCAGTTCGCTGTGAGGAGGCAGTGCTTGTCCCTTTTTTCATATCAAGAAGGGATAATATCAAGAGGGATTTAGTATAATATGTCCTCTCTGAGAATTATAGCACCGATGACGTCGTCACTGATGCTCCTCTTATGTCAGCTGTATGAAAGACGTCATCTTTACAACCAATAACGTGAGCCAAGATAAGAGGAGCTGTCAACGTGTTGCTAAGTAAGATACAGCAGGGGCCTGCTTGATTGTTTATTTGTAAGTGGAAAAAACTATTTAGTTATTGCCTATCTACCATACAATACCAGTTTTTTTTTTTTCTCATTGTTTGTAAAAACAACCGCAGCCAAAAGTGAGTGAGTGAATATATATATATAAATTTCTCATCTATTAAACACTCCATAGTATTCATACAGACAATTTTGAAAGTATTTAAAATCCCAGGCATCTGATTAAAGATCCCAGAGACTTTAAAAGACAACAAGTCCTTCAAAATCATCAATAAACGAGGCAATTCCTGTTGAAAAGCTTGAGCTTAGTCTCATTTGAGCAAAGCACACAGCTTCAGTTAGTAAACCCACATCTTTAAAGGTTGGATGCATTCTGTTTGGGCTGACAAGATAAATATGGGCCATACTAGAAAAAAGGAAATGTAGCATCATAATTATACCCTGAGGAACAGTTATGGCTAATTGTTAGCTCCTATGAGTTCTGATCAACAATTATGGATAAAAAATGTGTTATATTTATTTTAAAGGGCTCTCCGTTGCTACAGACAACCGTTTAAAAGAGTATTTTGTTTATATTGATTTTTTTTTTTTATTAATCCCCCAAGCCCATAACCCTATAATGCCAAATGTATCGTATTTGATACATACGGTTTCTGAAATGTTTTGCATCTGGAACCTTTTGCATAATTTAATGAT